GGGGGGGGCTACGTACCTGGTCTGAAGGCAGGCAAGCTGGTAAGCCCATCTCTCTTGCTGATGAGGCTACCCCCAGTGGTTACTCTGCATATAGCCCTTGCCTGTGGGCGCGCTGCCCCCAGTGGCCATTCTAGGTATCACGTCTCTCCTCTCTATGCCCCTCCCTTTTGCATTCCTTCTCTGTGCCCCCTCCTTTTTCATGTTCTAGAAAACAGTCTCATTCCTGGCACTTCCCGTTTTTCTGGCGCAGTCAAACCCAGACTTTGATTTAAATGTACGATAAGTGGAAACTGCATGTCAAATTTGGTGGTCCTAACTCTTATTGTTTTGGAGAAGCTCTTGAACAGACTCACAGACCTTTCTAAAATATAGAGACAGACTAGCACATTTATCCAGTGTTGCTCAGGTCCTTAAGCATGGTGTCAGGGCAGTAGGCTCAGGGTGCAGGGGCTGAAGAAGTCAGGGTTTGGAGATGAGGAGGGGCTCTGGGCAGGGGAGTGTGTGTGTGTGTGTGTGTGTGTGTGTGCATGTCAAATTTGGTGGTCCTAACTCTTATTGTTTTGGAGAAGCTCTTGAACAGACTCACAGACCTTTCTAAAATATAGAGACAGACTAGCACATTTATCCAGTGTTGCTCAGGTCCTTAAGCATGGTGTCAGGGCAGTAGGCTCAGGGTGCAGGGGCTGAAGAAGTCAGGGTTTGGAGATGAGGAGGGGCTCTGGGCAGGGGACTCTGTGTGTGTGTGTGTGTGTGTGTGTTTTCCTGGTAGGAAGTAAGAAAAGTTATCTTTACTGCCTCCTGGAGCTTTTCCCAGCTTGGGGCAGTCCACAGGTGGCTTAATGGCTCATTCACTACCATATACTGGCCCTCAATATAAGGGGTGTGCCTGGAAATTAATAAATGTAGGTTCTTATGGTGATATTATCTCAAACACATTGCATATATGCCATATTTTCCATTCCTGCATGGCTTAATCTTTGCTATTACAAAATATATAGACAGTGTACTAATGGTGCTTCAGCCTCCTCTCACCCTCGCTAAAGGGCACCTAGGCGGTGGGAGGCTTGAAGCTGGGGTAGTCACAGACTGGGGGAGGGGGACTATTTAGGACAGGCATGT